TGTAGTCATGGTAGGGGCAGGCGCCGAAAGGCTCCCCTGCCGCACTGTAGCCATAGCAGGGACAGGCGCCAAAGTCAGCCCTACTGTCACATCTAGTCACTGTAGCAGCATGACAACTTGTGCATGTCTGTGTACTATGATTAGATGGGTAGAGTTATATATATATCTTCCCACTTCAACTCAGTAAAGTTGAGCGAGTTCAATTTCGCCATCTCCTTTGCAGAGCTACGGCCAACGCTGATGCTTGTGCTGTGTGTACGCTCTGTTCTTCCTCCCTTTTTTTATCTCTAATTATAGTGTGTGATCGACAGTGCTGGTGGAACGGTCGGCTCAGCCGTATAGGAGATTCCGGGGCCAACATGTCAATCCCGACAACTACCAGGCAAAAAGCGAGATTGCGAAAAGAATATGGATTGATTGATGAATGAAATCGTAGCGACCGAAAAAGGCTGCAAACATTCCCCAAGCTTACTCCCTCCGTCCCATTGAGTTTGTCGTTGGAAAACCGTGCCCCCCTCACAATCCCGATTCCCGAGCGACAAACTCAATGGGACGGAGGGAGTATCTGATTTCAGGACAGTCCTCCAGTAATAATCCCCGATCGAGCACTCGTGTCTGCATGCACCGCAAAAGGAAAAGGAGTCGTGCGCCACAAATTGTCCGACATGTTGATTTCAGTGTCAACAGAGATCAGCTGTGCCTCAACTTTAAACTGTGTAACTAGCATGTCAGATCCGGACGTCCGGTGCTAAAGTTAGGATACGAACGTGCTTGCTCAATCAGGAACTAGCTTAGCTTGCATTGGATGCAATCACCCAGTTCCATTGGTTTATAAATCAACTGATGCTATTTTATTATGAGAAAAAAATATTATATTATAATTAATAAGTATGATTGATACTATCATAGGAACAGGGTGAATAACCAACCATGAGCTTGATAGGAGTAATTATGCTAGGGTGGCGCTATTTGCAATTGGTCACACGTACTGGACAGAATATCTAATGGGTGAAAGCCATGGACGTGACACATGAAACATGGTCTGTCATCACACCTTTTTCATCATGTGCAGGGGGGTTTGGATGCGCTAATAAGGCTGCACGGTGAAAGACCCGTTGTTGGTACGGCCCCCTGAATCATTTCATTTATAGCTTTGGTTCACCCTCCTAAACTTTAATGACTATCACATTGAATGTTTGGACATATATATGAAGTATTAAATATAGATTAATTATAAAATTAAATGCACAGATTGAGACTAATTTCCGAGACGAATTTTTTGATCTAATTAGTCCATGATTTGACAATGTGGTGCTATAGTAAACATGTGCTAATAATAAATTAATTAGGCTTAATAAATTTGTTTTGCAGAACACTAACAACTTATATAATTTATTTTATTTTTAGTATCCGAACACACCATGTGACGTCCACGTGACACGCGACTGTGACACCTCTGGAACTTACGTCAAACACCCCACCACACTCCATACGGGCCCTTATATTAAATATGCTTTCATTTCATTTATATTGGATGGTCTGAAATGACCTTTCTTCATGCTTTCAATTGACATAAAATATAATACCACTTGCTTGTCCTCCCTGATCCTCATGTTTTATTATACCAGCGCACTGTCTTTGCTACCGGTCACATTCATTCACATTTGCCATATTATTCATTCCTATAATATCATCTACGCTCATCAGGTTGTGTCCTCCCTCTATCCATGAAAATATGCAACTATAGATTGCGTGCTAGAAAAAATAGATACCAACTTTCTAGTGAATAGTATTCATATTTATGACCTACAAATCAATTTATTATGAAAATACATTCCTAATTAATCTAATGATATTGATTTGATATCATAATTATTGATATTTTTTTATCTATAATTGATCAAATTTAAGATACTAAAATATAACACTGTGCTAGAATTACGTGCTTTCATAGATGGAGGGAGTAAAAAACATGCATGTGTTCCGTTTCTTACCGTGATGCCGTACCATTTTTAGTGTCTCAAACTGGTATGGCAGTGGCATTAATCGAACAAGCTTTGTAAAGTGGTGGCATTGCATCTAAATATTACATAAGAAATGCCAAATTTCGGGACTATAATTGGCAAAAATTCTCCCGCTAATGGCAGGTGCACTTGTGTATGTTACATGCACCTAGCAAAATATAAAATACGAGAAATCTTTGTGTTCTGTCCTGTCCATTTACTTTAGTGACCCTGACCCTACAGCTAGGCTCAGCGCTGACGGTATTTGTTTGTCTTTGCAAGACAACCCTGCACCCTCTATTGTGGTCTCAACTCTCAATGCAAGCACCTTGAGTATTAGGATTGTGTTTATTATCCTCAGGCTGCAGTAACCAACCCCACTATCAGGGGATTAGGATATTATTATTTTTTGTGTGAAAAAAATCTTCAAAAGACATGTTTATAAGCTTTGAAAGTTCTTGCTTGTACCTCTCATATATGTAGAGGAGGTGATGGTGTACATTAAACTTCATAAGCCCAAAATTCCAAGAAGAAACTTCACCTTGACATCAAAATATAAAGTTGCAAAAAAAAAAAAAAACCCACAAAAAAATACAAGCAAGCACATACAATACTTTATGAGCAAACTCAACTTTGTTCATAAACACACTGCTTTTGTCTTTTCCTTTGTTCTTTGCCAATTTCATATCTTACGAAACTAAGGGTGCATTTGGTAGGGTTCTAAATTCTCGTAGAAACGTTTCGGTGATGAATCAGAATCACTTTGTGAAACCGTTTGGCTGTTAGACTGGATTCCCGTCCACATAAAATTGCTTTTCTCATTAGAAAATATATAAATGCAAATATGCTTCAAAAAATGTTAGAACTTTTTTGTGGGTGGAGGAAAACTTAATACAACTCGTTTTATTTTTTTGCACTTCAAAATAATTAATCAAAAAAAATAAAAACATTAAGTGCAGAGGAGAGGTGGGAACCGAATCGGGCGAAACTGGGTTCCGGCCGTTTTGCAAGCGTAGGCAAAAATCACGGAACGCTTCCAGCCGTTTCTCCTTAGAAACGAATAGGCAAAAAGCATTTGGCTCCGATTCTGGTGTTTCACGGAGAAACGGAATTGATCCGCATGTACAAATGCACCCTAAGTTGAATTCGTGCTTAAAATTATTTATATGGTTTTACATCACCGCGTTGCTCCTTCAACACAAGGGTGCCTTTTTGAGATTTTTGAAAACTTATTATAAACTTGTTTTCTTCAATATTTTTCAAGATTTCCCACAATCGGTGGATTTCCATAAGAAATATTAGCCGTGACATCAACATATCCTGTTTGTATTTAATTATTCCTGATACTATTTCTTATAAATTTAATAAGACTTCAAGATAGTCTGAATTAAACCCAAACCTAAATGATACATTCTTTCAGGAACAGAGATAGTAAGCATATATTCTTCTGTCAACAATTTTGTTGGATTGGCTATGAGATCGGGAAAACTACATTATAGTCACATTCAGAAGCATAATGATGTTCTAGGGAAAGTAGAATCACAAGCTTTTAAACCCATGCTCTTGGACTTTTCTCTCGCCCAGCTGACAGCAGGTGTATCCACTTGCTAGAATAGTAGAATCACAAGAAGACTGCTAATAACAGCAGACGTGCATTATTACCATGCATGGCACACAATGGATGTATCACAATAAAAAAATTTCGCATGCACCAATACATATGTAGCTTCATATATAACAATATTTGCATAAGCAAGAGACGTCGTTCATTTGAAGTTAGGAAGACTAAATTAATGAAGGAAGTATACACAATCAACATCAATGAAGAAAAAAGTAAATATATAGCATGCCAATATAGAGGGTGATGATTGATGAACATAACAAGACTTTGTTTAGTTGGCGATTTTTTTTTGGAAATGGTACTGTAGCACTTTCGTTGTTATTTGGTAATTAGTGTCCAATCATAGTCTAATTAGGCTTAAAAGATTCGTCTCGTGAATTTCGTCTAAACTATGTAATTAGTTTTATTTTTTATTTATATTTCATGCTTCATGTATGCGTCTAAAGATTCGATGTGACGGGGAATCTTGAAAAATTTTGCAAAATTTTGGGAACTAAACAGGCACTAAGAGAAAAAAGAATACTTTGCCATATGAAAAATTTGCCCTCTACATTGACATCTCTTAATCATATTTGTAATTATGAAGCATATCCTATGTCCATTTTTTATTCCACTGGTTAAAATGAGCACGGGATGGAAAAACTACATTGTACTAGTCGCATTCAGAAACACAAAGTTGTGTTCTAGTGGAGTAGAATCACAAGCTTTTAAACACCACCAACATCCCCGTCCCCCCCACCCCCACCCAAAAAAAAAAAAACACCACCAACATCCCCTTCCCGCGATGACTTCCCTCTTATTGGCTTTGCCCCCCAGTGCACGTCGCATCAGGTTTAATTTATCCACTTGCTAGAATGACCCAAAAAAAGGCAGGTGCATTTCTTTCCTTTCTTTATTTAAAAAAAAACTGACTCATGCCCCATTGGTATATACTCCCAATCTTCCATGCCACTGACCACTGATGATATGCATGTACCAGAAATAAATTTTTATGCCATACTGTTGCCGATCAAAAAAAGAAATAAATATTCATGTAGATACATAAGTGATTAGAACAATATTATCCTATGAAAATTGCAAATAGAGACGTTTGCAAATTGGCAGAGTAGAAGACTAAGCAGCAACAAATATGGACGAAATTAAACAAAAACTGCAATGACATGAGCAAATATAATCAGCCAGAACAGTGTTTTTCTCTCACAACAAATCAGCCAGAACAGTGTTTCGGCTTGTTTTTCGAGCGATGCGAACGGAGTCATATAGTAGTTGAGCTAGGAGATGGTGAACAAAAGAAAGGAAATAAAAGATCGAGTAGAGAGAGGAGCGACGCATGCATGCATATATAGTTAGTTGCAGAGATATGATATGATATATACCTGAAGCGTGAAGGATCCTCCGCGTCGATGACCTTGGCCTTGCGCGCCACCGCTCCGGGTTGGGCGTGCAGGATGAGGTACTCCAGCTCGCCGACGTCGCCGTTGGCACCAATGTTCCGGCTGCCATACCCCAGCGGGTCCGGCGGCCCCGCCGCCTGCTTCGCCTGCGCGGGGCGCGCGAAGAACGCCGACGCGGCGGCGTCCAGTGGCGCGCACACCCGCGGCGGCACGCCGTGGTTGACGGCCTTGAAGAAGCCGCGCTCCGCGCACGCGCGCACCAGCCGGCGCGCCAGGTCGCCGCGCCCGGACGGCGCCGACATGTCCACCGTCGGGATAATGCCGAGCGGCAGCGAGTCCGGCGCCATCTCCCGGCCTGCCGCCGATGGCACTACCATGCTAGCTGCTGGATTAATATTGCGTGATATATATGGTTGCACCTGCCGCGTACTTGTGGCGCGCGCGTACGAGAGAGAGAGAGAGAGTTTTGGAATGGCAGTGAGAGGATGCCTGCCGCCGGTCGGGCCGTGGTGGTGGCCGTGGACGTACGGTGGGGGTGTGTGCGTGGATTTGGAGATGAAGATTCCGCTTGGAATGCTGACAGGTTGTTCTGGCATTGACGTGGTGTCCTGGCTCGATCGAGTTATACTAGGGCCGCGTTTAGTTCGACCGATTTGGCGCCGGCCGAGTCACTGTAGCGACATAGTGTCGTTTTGTTTTTATTTGGTAATAATTGTCCAATCGTTGACTAATTAGACTCAAAACGTTTGTCTCGTAAAGTACAACCAAACTGTATAATTAATTTTTGATTTCGTCGATATTTAGTACTCCATGCATGACCACAAGTTTGATGTGACGAAAAATATTCTTTTTCATAGTGCTAAATTCTGAAAAATAGGGGAACTAAACATGGCCAAGTATTTGTTACGGATGATCAAACGAAGCAGTTGGCCGCCGATCCCTCCCTTTCTCTGTCTGAATTGCAGGCCGCGATCTAATTTTATTCCCTCGGCCTGTGTCTATGTACAGGTGGTGGGTACGGATCTTCTGTGGTGTCATTGTTTGATGAAGAGTCTGATGAGAACATTTCTGCCCCACCTGGTGTCTAGGGGAAGAAAATTCTCATACGTGATGCAGAGAGGATTCGGTGCAGCATGATTTGGTTACCGTGTGATGACTCATCTCGTGAAGTCGTGATTGGCTGATCCAAACCATGCTGCACAGATCCTCTCTGCATACGTGATGCAGAGAATTTTTTTCCATGTTTAGTGGCGGGACATGCATTTTTAACTAGCAGTAGTCATATCTATGATGCTCTAATAATTTTTATTATTAATCATAAATATTAGTAACTTATGTATATTTGGTCAAATCTAAGAAAACTTGTGACTACTTAGAAAGCGAGATGCAGATTTGTTTTTGAATGGTGGGAGTATATATTACGAAAAATGTTATATCCATAAGAAATCTAGTAGTATCAGTCGTGATTCATGGGGTATTAATAGTCAAAAAAATTTTTAAAAAATAATTTTAGACGATTAGAGGATTAATTAGAGGAAAGTAGCTAGCGCGCTAGATCGTCGTTATCACCAAATTGAGCAGTGTCATACGCCAACAACGTGTACACAGTAAAGTGTGGCACATAGGATCCGATGCTCCGGAGCGTGCAGAAGCGTTCCGTTCAGTACAGCTCGATGCATTGCCGTCCTGAATTAGTTTAGTCGTCGTCTTTGTTTAGTTCTGACAGCAGCTGGTTCAATTCATCGGCCATGTATGTATCGGCAGATGATGCCAATGCCCAAAACGGAAAACTCAGTTGTGTTCTCCGTTGGAGCATCTTGGAAAGTGCACCGCCCAGAAAGAGAAATCCTGTCTTCTTGCATTGTCCGAGCTGTGCTGGCTGCTCGGCCGGCCCGGCCCTAGCATGCATCGACATTTCCATTTCATCACCTACCTACTACACTCCCCTCGAAAAAAAAAATCACCTACCTACTACACACGGTTTTCAGTTTTTCTTAGCTTATTCGTCGCCTTCTACTTACAAAATTGCATTCAATCGCGTTTTATTGACCGCGTATATAGATAGATCAGAGAGTATAATATAAGCCAAACCGCTAAGCAGGTCCAAGGCCGTCTTTGGTTTTATAAGCTTTTACCACTACAACACGTATGGTGCTAGGTGTAACAAAGTAGTTTCAGTCGGCAACACATGCCGGCATATGTAGCTGTCGTGGCCATGATTCTAGTTCCAGGCATGACAGCGTATGCATGCCTAAATATTTGTCTCGTGCAAATCCATGCTCGATCTAAGGGCTTGTTTGAATTTCTCCTTTAAACTTTAAAGCACTTTAGCTTAGTTTTAAAATCTAAACCTTTAATATGAAGTGGGCTAAAGTTTAAAACTAACAGTAGACCTTCCGTTTAGAGACTTTAGCTCTAAAGTTTAGAGGAGGGGAACCAAACATGCCTTGAGTAGAGATGAGAATATATACCACAATATTAACTTTGCGTTAACCCCTAGTAGTGCTTATGCGCCAGTTTGATTAATACATTCTCTCCAACGCTGGCAGCTCGCGTAGAATACGCGCAATAATAACAAAACTTCTTGCCGATATTGATTCTGACTTTGAGTAGTTTCACAGTGCCTCGACTAGGCCAGACCGCCAGAGCAAGAACAAAGAACATAGAAACGATAGCTTTTGTCCTGCACTACTCAACATAATATAAAGATCGCATCGTTCTGTCCTAAGTTATCGAGTCTTAGGATCCCAGCTCTATAAATAATTAACTAACGGAGATGGACATATAAGCTAATACAAAGAACATAGAAACGATATATAGGTTTTACCGTGCACTAATCAAACAGATCGCATCGTTCTATTCACTGTATGTAGTTAATAATAGTTATTAGCTATTTTTTTTAATTATAAGTAGTTTTAGATTTTATAAATACATAGCTTTTACATAGATGCAGAAATACTTACAATTTAGAATGAAGAGTATTAATTATTAGCTATCTAGACAATTATTAGTAAGGGTTGTTTTGATCTACCTGCTAAGGAGGGTCGGAAAAGAGGCTTGTGGTCAAGCTGGCTTAGAGACCAAGCTCTCAAGTGGAGGAGGCCGGCAACCTTGCGATTGAGATTCTGCAGAGGAGCAGTGATATTTGGGCTTGCTTCAATGTGGATGTAGGTGACCGACAAGTTACTGAACCATGGGAATTATTGCAAAGGCCTTTTGTTTTGGCCACAGGCTAAGAATTAACCTCGTGTTACTTTTGGAGCAAAGGATTTTGACACGAGTTAACAGAATTGTAACGACCCAAAAATCGTTATAATATTTCACAAGCACCTTGAGCATAAAATACACCTAAAAATTTCTAAAATAAAAAATCTTGCATGTTACTTGTGAACTTGTTGAGCATCATGTGCATTTTTAATTCAAATTAGAATTGGACTTGTGCTTAGACTAACCAAAACCGAGCACTTTTTTGTTTTGGTAGATCGTCCGTCATCCTGACCGCCCGTCTAGACCTCTTACAGACTTAGAATTTTTTTTGCCAACTCGTGCACCGGTGGAGTGTCCATCGTCACTGGCGGACTGTCCGTCAAATCCCTTGCACGGTCACGCACTACCAGACCGTCCGTCACATGCGGCGGGCTGTCTGTCAAGATCGCAGCGACACCTGTAACATGCAAATGTTGTGCTGTCCATCCCACACCTCTTCGGGCCCCACTCGTCAGCACCCTCTCTCACACAGCAACACCAGCCCACCAGCACCCTCTCCCTCTCCCACCCTCATTCTCACATTTAGAAACCAGGAAACAGAGAAGGAGAGAAAGAGAGAAGAAAGGAGAAGAGAAGAAGAGAAGGAGGAGGGAAGGAGGAGGAAGGCCACCACCGCGCCCACCACTGCTGGAGATCGTCGGCGGCGGGCTCCCCCGCGCCCTCACCTCGCCGGAGTTGGATAAGAAGCTCTTCCCCAAGCCATCTTCTTCGTCAAGCTCTCTTGGAGGCCCCAAGGTCGATCTCCCACCTCAAGCCTCCCCGAGCCGAGCTGCTGCAGTTGGAGACCGTCCATGACGTGGTGAGCATGCTCCAAGCCATCTCCCCCTCCATCCCCCTCCCAATCACCACTTCCATGGAGCTTCACCTCTCATCCATGGCCACCACCACCATGGATAGGATCGAGCTCCTCACACTAGATGCATGGCACAAACAACACTTGGAGAAGCTTCCCTACATCCCTAGAAAGCCATAGAAATAAACCGCACTTGATTTGGAGTCCAGATGCCCCGGAAACCATCTCCTACAATTTGCGCTGCTGTTGTCCGTCATTTTGGCGGAGAGTCCGCTGATTTATAGCCAAACCCGAGAGCAGCCTTGATTTGGCGGATAGTCCGTCGTTCTTGGCGGAGTGTCTGGTAAATTATAGAGACAACACAGTCCAAACTTATAAAATTCATAGAAAATTCATTTTAAATCCAAAAATTGTGAAACAGGTTTTGTTGTGTTCCTTACAATATTCTCTATCATCTAAACATAATTTTAACACCAAAAAGTATATTTTAATTTTGACTTAAAATAATACATTTTTAGTTTAATAAATAGACAATTTATTCTTTAGGTGTCGAAAAATTATGAAACTTGTTTTTATTAGTCTTCTCTAGGCATGTGCCATCTAAGAAACTTGTTTGGTGCATCATCACATTTGCATTCATGCACTTAAGCTTTTCTTTTGTGTCTCACATATTATAATTTGGCGGAGTGTCTGTGGTCATCACCGGAGCGTCTGCCGAATTAAAGAGCTTGTCTCTTAGTAAACATGAGAACACCCAACTTCCAGCGGAGAGTCCACGACATTCCATTGAATTATAAACCTAAGATATTGAGGAACCCGAGAGTCCCCAGTTTTCACCTGAGCGTCCATCAACTGGACCAGACCGTCTGATGGAGACTGTATACCAAAAATGCCTAAGTCCTAAACCACCGGAACGTTCTTTGGAACCTTCCGCGGGTAACAGAGTGTCCGTCGCTATGACGGAGAGTCCGTCAACTTAGTTCAACAGCGCATAAACCCTATGCCACCTACACATAGTATATGTGATTAATCTCTAATTAGACCACATCAATGCATCTTATGTCATGTCATTTAATCTTGTGCATTATACTCATCAAGCATCATATTTAATTATTGCACCTTGAATTCACAAGAGTTGAACCACACGAGCCCCTCTCATCTTGCACTCTCATCTCTCTTGCACACTTCATATAATGCCATGCATACATAAGTATATTGTACATGTGCATACATATAGGTATGCGATATCGGAGAGATGTCAAGTCATGTTCCAAGCTATTGGGACAT